GCAGGTGGAGTGATGAGAGCATGTCTCAGGGTCCCATACATTTCTCCTCCAGTTGGCCCATCGTCCTTGCTCTGTTTACGTCTGTCTAACTGCCTAGTATATTCACCCTCAAGAATCTTGGCTCTGAATTCTTTCAGAGTAAAGGGGTGCACTGTCTCTTCTATAACTTCTATAACTGCTTCATGCTGAGGAGATGTAACCAGACAGTCAAGGGATCCATGCTGCCTGATACTACTTGAGCCAATTAAGCAGAGACAGGTTTGAATCATAGATGAGCATTTATTCCGGTACTGCTAGCAGTATGGAAGAGTAGCAGGTCATTCGCAAAAATATGCTCTGCAACCCATCATAAGCCAGCTGATTATATCGGGTAGGACAAAGATTAGATGGGGAAGTTAACAAAAGAGTATGCCAAATGGGCAGTTTACTGGCAATGTGGGCTGGAGATTTGCAAAAGCCTATGGGTATGCAAAGGCTGAGGGTCTTCAAAGAGCTGGTAGCTCTAGTTTTAGCAACAAGGTTGTTACTTTTTCCATGATAATAGGCAGCCCCCGATAAGGAGGATGGAACATATTTCCAGGTGAGTTTCATGTGCAACTCTCAGCCAGGTTAGAATGTGCTCTCTTTATCATTTACTTATTTATTTATAATATATATATATATATATATATATATATATAATATTAATTTCAGAAAGGAAAGGGGAGAGAGAGAGATAAAACATCAATGATAAGAGAGAATCATTGACCATCTGCCTCCTGCATGTCCACCACTGGGGATTGAGCCCACAACCCAGGCTGTGTCCTGACCAGGAATCGAACTGTGACCTCCTAGTTCAGTGGTCAGCGAACTGCGGCTCACGAGCCATATTCGGCTCTTTGGCCTCTTGAGTGTCGCTCTTCCACAAAATACCACGTACCCTAATTAAGTTAATAACAATGTAAAAATTTGGGCTCTCAAAAGAAATTTCAATTGTTGTACTGTTGATACTTGGCTCTGTTGACTAATGAGTTTGCCGACCACTGTCCTAGGTCAACTCTAAGCCACTGAGACAAGCAAGCAAGGCAGAATGTGCCTTCTTTAATCAGATCCAAGCAATCACAGCTAACAGAACACGATTAATATTTCTTACCATTATGGCTGATGCCAAATATTCTACTTCTGCCCCTATTAGAGGGACAGAGTTTTCCTTCAGAGCCAAAAGATCCTTGCTCTCTGTCAGAGGGATGATGAAGCATGGGCACGGAAGGAGGTGGCAGAGGTGTCTGGCTGTGGTATTCCTTGAGTCTGAGTAGGGCTTGTAACCTGGTGAAAACAAACTTATACATTTTAGTATTATTGGGATAAAAGCTAGAGCTAAAATTCACAACTATGTGAGTCTACTGAAACACAATTTCCCCCCTAAAATCATCCTCATTTTTATTAAGGAGCCTAATTAAGACCAATTATTTACTTTTTAAAGTGCAGTTTCAATTTGGCCTAATCATTTGCATGAACACAATAAGAATAGCAATTGATCATATATGCCTTTAAAAAAATCTGCTTTGCTGGATTAGTAAGCTTTTAGTAGCCCCTAATGGGAAAGAAGCCAAGCCACCTACCTGTCATCAGGTTTGCCTGCAAATACTTGTAGACTTAGGTGAATTATTCCCTTTCTTGAGGTTCTCAAAATGTCCTGAGGTTCCTTCCTTGCCATCTCTCAAGAAAGCAATCTTTATTCCTTACCTGGAAAGACTGCCATAAACCACATGACCAAGCAAGGATCAGGCTATTTCTCCAAGGTACTCGTATTAGCTTCAAGTCAGTTTTCATTCCTTAAAGCTTCCTGGTAACACCCAGAGTCTGGACACATCTCTCTCAGACATGACATTATTCCAGCCAAAGTCTTGGTTAATATAACCACAATTGAAAACAGATCTTACTGAATTCATGCAAAGAAACATATTGCAATGACTTACTTATAAACAATTGCCAAATTCTGGGGGGATAAGGTAGGAAGGAAAATACATAATTTATCAAATTGCTTTAAGAAATGTTTCCTTATGTCTGAAAAAGAAAAAGATTAAGAATCAGCAGTTACAAAAGTTACAAAAACTATATAATTATTTTTAGTTTATTCAGTCCTATAATCAATTTTTTATTTCTTCTGATTTTCCCTGCCAGTACTTCTATAAGTTCAAGTACTTTACAGAGTTCTATCCTGTTTCCCTGAAAATAAGATAGTGTCTTATATTAATGTTTGCTCCCAAAGATACACTAGGTCTTATTTTCAGGGGATGTCTTATTTTTTTCCATGAAGAAGAATACGGTACACATTTATTGTTAAATGAAAATAAAGAAAATTTATTTCCTGTATACGGTACGGTAGTACGGTACTTGTCAACACAAACCAGACAAACTGTGAATCCCACAGTATCAGGAATTTACTCATTTATTCAATGACAATCATGTCATCGTCTTCTGGAACATCATCATAACAATCCAATTCCTGAATTTCCTGGTGAATTTCTTGTGACTCCATTTCTTTCAGAATCAGTGGACCAAATCTCTCATGTTTAGCCTGGGGTGGGGTGGGGACTTATTTTCAGGGGGGATGCCTTATATTTCACTCAAAAGGAAACCTGTAAGTAACCTGGTCTTATTTTCGGAGGATGTCTTATTTTCGGGGAAACATGGTAATAATTTTCATCCAGTTCAATGATCTGAGAATGTCAAAGTCTTTTCCATGGATCCCTCAGATGATGTAACAGTTTTCCAAATGTATTATAACAAAACAATGACTGTCTCTAAATGATAATACATTTTAAATGACAAGGTTATGGATTTGATTATAATGCAAATGACATGGAATCTTGTCCTTTCTACAAAACACAATATTCCAGAATAACAATTACAATTATAAATGAAAGCCTAATATAGTTATTTCTTTATTTGACAAAGCTTCCCATGTACCTTAAACAGAAAATTTTCCTTCATGAGAGAAAATAAATCCTTGAGGCATTCCAGGGCCTATTAGAATGACCTATGCCAATTCTAGGTCAACAAAAAATTGATAGATCTTCCCTTCCCCCAAATAATGGACAGAGAATGATGTAAACTCCATCTGCAGTCCGAACATTCCTGAACACCTAACCAGGCACCTTATATGGGCTGTATATTGAACCACCAATCAGCACCTGCCAAATACCTTAAACCCCCCCTCCCTCCTGGATTCCTAAGTCCCTAATTATGTGCCTTATATGAAACCACCAACCAGCGTGTGCCTAGTACCTTAAGCCCCCATCTCTTCTCTTTCCTCCCCTCAAAAGGCACCTCACATTCTCTCTTTCTCCTCTGGAAGACACTCCAGCAGGGGTCTCTTCCTCCAATAAAGCCTGTGTCCTGATTCTCCAGCCCTCTGTTCCATCTTTTAAAAATTTCTTAAAATTCAAACCCTGGGAAGGTTGGCAAACTTATTTTACCAAAAGTTCATATATCATTATTATAATTACGCAAAGTGACAAAAGGGATTTAAATACAAATATGGCTGGCAAACTTCAGTTCCCCAATTAAAGAAGATGGTTTAAAAAAATAATCAAGTGCCTGATTAATATAACATATAACCATTTCAATAATTTATAGGACTTTTGCTTCCTGGGGAAAAATACTCGTGTTTCCCTGAAAATAAGACATCCTCCGAAAATAAGACATAGCGCATGGAAAGATAAGACATTCCCTAAAAATAAGACCTAACGCAACTTTGGGAGAAAAAAATAATATAAGACACTGTCTTATTTTCGGAGAAACAGGGTAGAAAAGACTTTTCCCCTTTTGGTAGACTAGAAAAGTATTACCAAAATGACATTTATTTTCTAACCTTCATTTGTCCTTAGGTGTGATCAGCAAATGATACTAATTGGATTTCTGCTATCTGTCTCCCTAAGTAAGTTGATATAAACTATTTACCCACTGGCTAGGGAGGAAAATGAAAATTATTTACTCTTACGTGTCTGTCCTTGTTTTAGGGAAGATAGGATTTACTAGGTGGCTCCAAACTGCTGTTTAACCTTCTCAGTCTCACTATTCCACTTATTCTGGCTTACTGGCCTGGGTCAGTTATATAACTTCCTTTCAACATTTCTTTTTACAAACATTCAATAACTGTCATAAACCTACTTTAAAAAATCTCCTTTCTACAACTTTCACAAATCTTATAACTTTCAGAAATAAGCTTTAGAATCCACTTTTCCCTTCAAAATGCATGTCCATGCTTCATGCCTTCTATTGCAAAAAATAAACACCAAAACCCACATAGATATCAAGGGTCAATGGAAGAGGAGCTTGATTAGAAATCAAAGAAAGGAGTGTGATACCAAGGATAAGGGGATTCTCGATAAGCTGGCTTTGCAGGATTCTTTGGGGAAACTAGGCCAAGCAGGCCAAGGATAAAGCCTAATTTAGATGAGGACTCAGAGGGCCTGACTGAAGTTTGCTCCAGGAACATGCCTGCCAAGGCGGAGTGAGGGGCTGAACTTGGTGGCGTTAAGTCCACAGACCTTGGGGACCCTACATCTCCGGTGTTAGCGGTGCACGCTACACCTCACATGACCCAAAGTGCCTGGAACTGCAAAGCCACGAAGTAAGACTATGGCTGCATTCCAGCTTCAAACCAGATTGACCCCAAATCCGAGCGCTGATTCCCTTATCGGCTGCCCTGTGCCTCCGAGATACAGTTTTCCTGGGGCTGCAGGGCGGGCCCGGCGTGCACCGGCCGCGCGCCAATCACAGGCCGGCGCGCAGGGGCGCAAGCGCCAAGGCCCCGGGCGGGGCTCAGCTCTCAGCAATCACCTCCGACTCGCGGGCCTGCCGCCGCCCTGATTGGCCTTCCAAACGTGACGTAGGCGCCCGCCTCAGCCAATAGTAGAGGAGCCGGCGGCCGGCGGGGTTTGGCGGAAGTGGAGTGAGAGAGGTGAGCTCGCAGCTCGGAGCAGCGGCGCAGCGTGGAGGACCGGACGCCAGCGATGACGCGCTTCGCCCTGACTGTGGTCCGTCAGTGAGTATCGCTGTCGCCGGGTGCCTTTCCCTCGCGGGCCCTGTGTATTGGGGAGTGGGTGAAGGGACCATTAGTCTGCCATCCTTTTCTTCCTGCTTGCTCACCCCTCGCAGAGTTGGCTGGGACGGGCGATTTTTTAGGCGTTTTCGTACGTGCTGTGTCAAATGACCCTTCCTCCCCCAGCCACGCTGAGCCGGAGAGGCAGAGGGTAGTGTCATCCACCCCGCGGTGCCGGGGAGGCGAGGTCTGGATAAGTACACGGTCAGGGCTCCCAGCAGTGGGTGACAGCTAAAGCTGGAGAAAGACAACCTTGTCCCCACTCTCCGCTGTGCACCGTTTTGTTTCCCAGCAAATTGCGCAGACCGCAGGCAGAATAGCTCGAGGGAGGCTGTTTTTGATGCTGCCTCCCGTTCGCTCCCCGGTCTCTCCGGCTTTGCTGTTCCTCCTTATTTTCCGCTCGTCTGCCTGGGCATGCAGCCCCTCAGACATGTGCCTGAGATGCATTTCTTCCCCCCAGAGGTTACACCGCTGGAAGAGATCAAGGGGCCCTGCCCTGGGCTAAGCCGACCGCAGCACCCCGAACAGATATTTTTGTCATAACATTACACGGAGCCAAATGCTGATAGGTCTTTATTGTCTCTTATCTTACCCCGTCTTTTCACTTAACTTACCGACTGTTAGTGGGAAGTGAAATTTAGGGTGGTTAAGAGCACAGATTTTTCTTTCTTCTTTTTAAAAAAAATTATTTTATTGATTTTTAAAAATATATATATTTTATTGATTTTTCACAGAGAGGAAGAGGGAGGGATAGAGAGTTAGAAACATCGATGAGAGAATCATCAATCAGCTGCCTCCTGCACACACCCCCCACTGGGGATGTGCCCGCAACCAAGATACGTGACCGGAATCGAACCGGGACCTTTCAGTCCTCAGGCCTACGCTCTATCCACTGAGCCAAACCGGTTTCAGCAAGAGCACAGATTTTTCCAGCAAGAATCAGTGGCTCCACCTAGAAGCCTTGTAACCTGGCCTTCCATAAACGAACTTCATATTTCCCACCTCAGTTTCCTGATAGATAAAATCTACTTCTCTGGGTTAATGAGAGAATTAAATGGCAGAAAAATGGAGTGTATCGCACAGTGGTGGGAAAGAATTATATCTGAGAATGAAATAACTTATCTTTCTAAAAAGACAGCTCTAATAAAAATAGTTAATCCTCAAATATGTATCTACCTATAGTTTATCAAGGCAACATTTTGAGTAGGCACTATGTGCCAGTGGACTAGGTTACATACATAAAAAAAGATGCCATTTTTACTTCATGGAGCGCACAAGGAACAATAATATGATTTAATCTTGTCAAATGACTAACTGCTATCTTTTCTGTCATATTGATTTAAGGAAGGGAGAGATAGAGACATCAGTGATGAGAGAACCTTTGGTCGGCTGCCTCCTACATGCCCCATACTTGTGATCAAACCCAGGACCCTTCAGTCTGCGGGCCAGCCCTTTATCCACTGAGCCAAACCAGCTAGGGTTCTATCCTGTTCTTTAAAAAAAAAAAAAAAAATGATTTTCAGAAAGGGAGAGGGAGGGAGGGAGAAAGAAATATCAATGATTGAGAATCATTAATCAGTTACCTACTGCACCTCCCCTACTGGGGATCAATCCCACAACCTGGGCATATGCTCTTTGACTAGAATTTAACGAGAGAGAGAGAGAGAGAGAGAGAGAGAGAGAGAGAGAGAGAGAGAGAGAGAGAGAGAGAGAGAGAGAAAATATCATTGACTGACTGGCTGCACCCTGCAGACACCCCCACTCCCTGCATCACACACACATTAGGGATCGAGGGAGAAACCCTGGCATGTACCCTGACTGAGACTCAAACCATGTCCTTCCTGGTTCATAGGCTGACACTCAATCACTTAACAACACCAAATGGGCTAGGATTCACAGCATTTTAATGACTAAACTAGAAAATTTTCCCTATCTCTTCTCTACCCTCTATTCATAGAATGTTTTAGGACCATTGTATGACCTACTTAAGCTCATAAGCTAATCAGTAGCCGAATGAGAACTAGAGTCCTGATTGCTCTTTCTGCTGCTGTTAGAGCACTTTCTGGCTCCCTTGACCCAGCCAGCAGTGTCTGACACATATTTGAAGCTCAGGATTTGTGGGAAATCTGGGTTAAAACACCTCTTGAAAAAATCAGGTGATCCCTGTTCAGAGTCTTAATAAATAATACCCTGTTTCCCCGAAAATAAGACAATGTCTTATATTAATTTTTTCTCCCGAAGTTGCGCTAGGTCTTATTTTCAGGGGATGTCTTATCTTTCCATGAGGTAGGTCTTATTTTCGGAGGATGTCTTATTTTCGGGGAAACAGGTAGTTATATGGATTTTTATTCCCTCTCTGATTCTTAAGAAAGGCTTGATTTTTAAATTGACTCCTCACAGGAATCTATAGAAAACAATTAACTACCTTAAGAAATTGTGTGTCAGGCACTGTTGTAATTCTGATAGCAATCCAATGAAGTAAAGATTGCTCCTTAGTTTGCAGATAAGAAAATCAGCTACCTCCTTCATGCCCTCTACTGAGAGTTGAGCCCACAACCTGGGCATGTTCCCCTGACTGGAATGGAACCCAGGACCCTTCAGTCCACAGGCCAATGCTCTGTTCACAGAGCCAAACCAGTTATGACGAGGGCATATAACTTGGTTAAAGTCATATGTCAGGTTGGGGAGGCCGGATTTGAACCAAAGCAACAGGACCCTACAGCTTAACCCTCTTAACCACTGTACTCTTCTGCATCCTATTTTGAATTAAAAACTAGTATTTGTAGGGTGCTTGAATACCACCAGCCATTTTAGAGGCTTTTTATTTTTCTTCATATAATTGTGACTAGTGATAAGAATAGTTTTGCTTTGTTCTGTATATTTATGGGCAAGTGGAATGAAAGTGTTGAAATCTATAGGATTAGGGTAAGCTGCTCTCCTGTCTGAACTATCTCTCTTTTCCCCTTCAGAATTCTCAAAGCTAAAAATTGATGATTCTCTCAGGAAAAGAAATGATTTCAAACTTGATTGATAATTACCACATTTAAATATAATAACTCTAATGGGAATCAGCAAGATTGGATCATTTAGCATAGTATGGGAATAGGCACTTGAGTTTCTATTACCTGATTCTGTATTACTTTATAAGATAAACACCTTGCAACTGATGGCATGATCAATATTTTTTGAGTTGGATTTTATTAAACTACCTCTTCAGGTAATGCAAGAAAACTTTAAGAAAGCAATTTAAGCTGAAACCGGTTTGGCTCAGTGGGTAGAGTGCCAGCCTGTGGACTGAAGGGTCCTGGATTCGATTCCAGTCGCAGGCATGTACCTTGGATGCAGACTTATCCACAGTGGGGGGTGTGCAGGAGACAGCTGATTGATGTTTCTAACTCTATCTCTCTCCCTTTTTCTCTGTAAAAAAATCAATAAAATATAGTAAATTTAAAAAAAAGCAATTTAAGTTTAACCAGATCCCTTATGAATCTTGTGCTGTTACTGTATATGTGTGTTTACCTTTCTTCATCATACTTAGAAGTGAAAATACCTTGTGTATCATTTTTGGAATAGAGTGCCCAAGATTTCAAACTTCAAATCTACTTATATTATTAAACTCTAACTTTTCATTATCTTATAGCAAAGCATTGTTGAAAACTTCAGTGTGTGTTGGTGTTTCCATCACTTACACAATATATTGAAAGCCCCAGTTTCTTTGACATGTTATTTGTGTTTGCAACCATTTTCCTGCAGACCAGTTCACTTCCAGTTTTAACTGGCTCTTAAATTTTTTTTTTTTTTTTTTACAAACACAATTTAATTTACTTGAATGGCTTAAATGTCATTCAAGATTACTAAAGTTATTGATAGCAAAACTGATGTTTTTCCTACCCTACCTCTAGCATCAGTTAGCTTGCTCTTTGTTGAATGATAATCATTGTCCTGGTCTAAAAAAAAGCAACAAGCAAATATAAATATGAAGTCACCTGTAAACTTTATTAAAGATAACGTATAACTGTGGTGTTATCATGATATTTGTTTTCTGGGAATGGGGTTGATCATAGCCCTTGCACCAGGATTAATCTGTATATAAACAAAAATATGTAACAAATTGAGATATGAGGTTCTTTTTCCCCTCAAATATCCAGGGAAAGTCTCCATGTTACTAGCCCTTGGAATCTTTTATATTTTCACATGACTTAATTGTGGAGAGGAATTAGAATAAAACTGTATTCATGATTAAATATCAGTTGAGGCTTTACATTTCCATTATGTTAAAGCATATCTATTTTGAAAACTTGCCCCAAATGTATACTAGTTTCCCACTATTTGTCTCTCCTGTCTGTTATTGAATTTGAATTCTTTAAAGGGATATGCTTAGGAAATTAAGCTTTTTATGTGATATTTGAAGAAATGACATAGATATAAACCAGAACTAATAAAGACAAATACCTGTTTAAGTGAACAGTGTGAATCTGTGAAATGAATGATGCCTATTTGTAGGGCCTATAAATGGCTGGTCATAAGACTTCACCTCTTGGCAGAAGCATTTGGATTCTTGCAGAGTCGGTGTTGCATTTTGGAAATGGATCACACTGCAGATTTTGAAAATGAGTGGCGTTAGTCCTGACTCCTTCAAAATAACTTCCTCTGACCTTTCAGCTCTCTTCATCTTTGTGCTGTCACAAGCCAAACTTTGATTAAGTCAAGTGTAATAGTAAAACTATTTTAGCCACCTGCTTTTCTTTTCCACTCCCCAAGCAATAAAATCAAATACCTGTTTAAGTGAACTATCACACTGTTCACTTAAACAGGTATTTGATTTTATTAGTTCTGGTTTATATTCTATGGCATTTCTTCAAATATCACATTGAAAGCTTAATTTCCTAAGCATATCCCTTTAAAGAATTAAAATTCAACAGATAGGAGAGACAGGTGGGGGGATGTCCCTCAGCCCAGCCTGCACCTCTCCAGTCTGGGACCTCTCCAGGGATGTCTGACTGCCCGGTTAGGCCTGATCCTGGTAGGGTAGGGCCTCAATGGGCAGTTGGACATCGTTCTCATAATCCAGGACTGTTGGCTCCCAACTGCACGCCTGCCTGCCTTTCTGATTGCCTGTGGGGGGCTGTTTCTCTGTTTTCCGTGACCCGCACAGAAAACGACATGTTCCTGAGTGGAGGAGCTGGGGATTAAGAAATTAAAGGGGAAAAAAAAGAGACCAAGACACAGAAATATATTCAAGCTGGGACCCAGGTGGGGGTCTGTCACTCTGATGGAGGGGTGACCCACCACAGACAACACAGCGCATTTATTAATTTCCAAAGGGGGTTTAAGGTCAAAGAAGTTTTGGGTGTGCCCAGGTCCTATTCATTCCCTCATTCCTGGGATTTAGCATATCAAGACCTGGTTAAGTCAAGGTCCTGATTGTTCCTCATTCCAAGCACATGGATAAGGATAAGAAATCAGTACTGATTACTGTCTCCCACATTTTGGGGAAACATGTTCCCAGGGCGTGGCTCTGCCTGGCCTTGAGTTCAGCTGATAATTAAAGGTCATCCATGTGCATTCCCAGGGGGCCCTCTACAATGCCCTTACTTGCTTCTGCCTGCCAGCCTGATCACCCCCTAACCACTCCCCTGCCAGTCTGATTAATGTCTACCTGCTCCCCTACCAGCCTGTATGCCCTTAACTGCTCCCTATGCAGGCCTGGTCCCCCCCAACTGCCTTCCCCTGCAGGCCTGGTTGCCTCTAACTGCCCTTCCCTGTTATGTAACAATGTGGGGGCGGCCATCTTTTGAGGGTTTGAGGGTCAATTTGCATATTACCTCTTTATTATATAGGATATTACATAGGCTACCACTGTTTATCTGTTAAAGGCAACCAGAACTTTGCTAACGGATATGTAGGTTATTTACCATCTTTTGCTATTAGTAACTTCTAATAATAAAGCATAATATGCAAATCGACCGAATGGCAGAACAGCAGAACAAAAAAGCAACTTGCAGAAGACTACATATAGTAAGAGGCAATTCATTATAAAGTTCAACAATAGCTAAAGTAATCTGTGCTCTACACCGGTGGAAAAGCTATAAAGAAAGGCAAGCGAATGAGCATCCAAATGTCCATGTAATGGATCCTTTGCGGGTGGAGGACATGATGATGGAAGAGGGTCTAGGAGGCTGGCAGTGATCTGCTAACATAGATAATATTAGATGAGTGTTAGTTTTATTTGCTTATATTGTTTCACAATTTTTAAAAGATTAGAGATATGCATTAAGTTAAATTTTTAAAAAAATATATTTTATTGATTTTTTACAGAGAGGAAGGGAGAGAGATAGAGAGCCAGAAATGTAGACGAGAGAGAGACATCGACCAGCTGCCTCCTGCACACCCCCCAGTGGGGATGTGCCCGCAACCAAGGTACATGCCCTTGACCGGAATCGAACCCGGGATCTTTTAGTCCGCACACCGACTCTCTACCGCTGAGCCAAACCGGTTTCGGCAAATTTTTTATTTTTATAAACCTCCGTCCAAGCCTCTATAAAGCTCTTATAATTATTGAGTGCTTACTAAAAGCTAAGCAGTATTCTAAACACTTTAACTGTATTCACTCAGTTATCACAAGAGTCATGTGAGATGGAGACTGTTACTATCTATCCTATTAGACAGAGGACGAACTGAAACATTGACCTAAACCTGGCTTCTAGAGCCCAAGCAGTTTTTGTTCCTATGCCTGACTTATGGCGGTGAAGTTTACTTAAAAGATATACAGAAGGATATAAATAGGGGACAGTAGACATTTGATTCCAAATAAGAAATAATTTGCTCTGAAGAAACCTTTTTGCTGTTTTTACCTCCTAGTCCCAATCCTATGGAGTCCACACAGAACACGGGCAGCCCCTGAGCATCTCCTTGCCTCTGGTGCCTTGCACTGAGTTTCTCATGTAGAAAGAGCTCCAGCACGCTTCCGCTGAAATCTCCTTGACAGCTTTTCCTGTATTTGATTATGGCTTTAACTGTAGTTCTGTCCTATCACTCAGTCTCGTCCGTCCGTATAACCCTGCCTTCTTCCCAACTGACTTATTTTGTGACAAAGTTTCCAGTCCTTTCACCCTTCTCCTTGCTTCAGAACTTTTTTTTTTCTTTCCTACTCTTAAAAATGTATTACCCGAACCCCAGTTCTTCAGTGTGGTCTGCAGATGGTTGTCAGCCTACAGAGTGGAATATTCTGAGAAAACCTAGGACGTAAGGAAGGCCGGGGTCTGAAGATTTGTGCGTTTCCCCCTCCCCACTCTATTCACAGTCCTGTACTTGCTCATTCCATTCAGCTGTGGACAGACTGACCTTCATATTTGGGTTCTGCCTGGGAAAATCGTTTTGGTCAACATACTTCTTGTAATAAGAATATTTAACAAGAATAATATATACACATACATTTTTTTAATAGAATTTCCCACCTGCAATTCACTTAAGATTGATTCGTGATCTATACATTTTAATTTGGGCAGTGTGAAATTCTTAACTTATAAATTAAATACATTAAATGATTGCAAATATTAATTTAGAATAAATTTTACAGATTAGGTTATGAAATATATTATAAGGTTCATGTGCTATCTGAATATCATTACCTTTGATTGCTGATTTTTTTCCCCTCATTTTAAAAATAACTTAATTTATTAATAAATGTGTTTTCTCCCCCCACCCTCTCTGTTTTAGTGGACAAACAAGATTAAACAAGGAGAAAGTAATTCAAGGTAGGTCTATTACTATTTTTGCTTTCTTCTTTAGTGTTAATGTAATACGTGAGTCTGTTGGGGCAGGATGGACCTGCTTAGCCCTGGGTTGTGAGCTGGGATTATAGAATTAAAGCATCATAGTCACAGAAATATGCTCAGAGCAGAGGTAACCAAGGACTCTGAAGTGAGCTGGATGTAAAGAGGGTAATCCACGTTGTGCATGGGTAGCTTCAAGTGGCCCAGGCAGCTGATAAAACGTCTTAAAATAAAACTGCCCGGATTTAAGATGGTTTTATATTTGGAACCATAAACTTGACTGGCTGGTGTTAGAGATGTTTTTCTGCTAAGATTTCAAGTTTAGTAATAACAAAGAGGGTTAATAAAGAACTTCCTCTCCGGGACCGGTTTGGCTCAGTGGATAGAGCGTCGGCCTGCGGACTGAAAGATCCCAGGTTCGATTCCGGTCGGGGGCATGTTGCGGGCACATCCCCTGTGGGGGGTGTGCAAGAGGTGGCTGGTCGACGTTTCTAACTCTCTGTCCCTCTCAATTCCTCTCTGTAAAAATCAATAAAATACATTAAAAAAAAAATTTAAAAAACCAAAACTTTCTCACATCAGTGGTTACTTTATTCTGAACAGATTGTCCCTCCCTTTTTGTGGTAATTTAGGTTCAGATCTTTTAATCTCACTAATGAAGTGGCTAGTCTGGCTTTTAAAGAATATTTTAGTGAGCTTTCAGCCAGATTACAAAAGCATTTTGTTTAATTTTTTTGGTTAGGGAATTCTGGGGTTGGCAGAAACTGACTTTCATATCCAAACTGCTTGACTCCCTCTACTGGATTCTAGTCTGATAGGTAAATGAACCTTTGTTTTCCAATGACTTGTGCCCACAGTTTATTTTTTGGACGCATGTCCCTGACTACTTTGTCCTTCATTTCATTTCACATTGACAGTGGAAAATGAATAAAGCTTTTGTGTCCACACTTATTTTGTAAGGCTTCTTTTGTGTGTTTTGTTGTTTTTCCCAATTTGGTAAGTTAGATGCTTAGTTCTTGAAATTAAACCCCGCCCCCCCTTTTAAGCATTCAGCCTTGTATATTTGGAAGTATTATTTGCTCTAAATTAGTAGAAAACTTGTTTGCATTTTATTTTACTACTGACCTGAAATTGCATTAGCCTCCCTTACAGGCTCCCTGACTTCCAGGAGTATTCAGTGCAGTTCTCCAGTTCTCCCACCTTGCCCTGTCAGTCAGTGCCCCCTTCCCCACCCGCCCCAGTGCTGATATCACAGCAACTCCATTTTCTTCTGCTCAGGGTTTTTTGGATTGCTTTGCTTTGTCTCCTGGAGATTTTCTTTTTCCTTATATCCTGTGAGCCCAGGAATGCATCTACTTATCCCTTCCTCCTCCCCTTCCTCCCTTTTTTTTTTTAAAATATATTTTATTGATTTTGTACAGAGAGGTAGGGAGAGAGATAGAAAGCCAGAAACATCGATGAGAGAGAGTCATCAATCAGCTGCCTCTTGCACACCCCCTATTAGGGATATGCCCACAACCAAGGTACATGCCCTTAACCGGAATCGAACCTGGGTCCCTTCAGTCCCCAAGCTGATGCTCTATCCATTGAGCCAAACCAGTCTCGGTGTCCTTCCTCCCTTTTGTAGTATGATAAGCTTTCAGAGTATCTAATCAGCCTTTCTTATGGAAATAAAGGTCCAAAGTATTTTTTTTTAAACTTCAGAGTTCTTTTTTCTTTCTTTCTTTCTTTCTTTCTTTCTTTCTTTCTTTCTTTCTTTCTTTCTTTCTTTCTTTCTTTCTTTCTTTTTTTTTTTTTTTTTTTAATATATTTTATTGGTTTTTTACAGAGAGGAAGGGAGAGAGAGAGCTAGAAACTCGATGAGAGAGAAACATCAACCAGCTGCCTCCTGCACACTCCCCAGCGGGGATGTGCCCACAACCAATGTACATGCTCTTGACCAGAATTGAACCTGGGACCTTTCAGTCTGCAGACCAACGCTCTACCACTGAGCCAAACCGGTTACGGCCCAAAGTATTTTTTAAGTGAAAATGGAGGAGAGGGGAGGAAGGGAGGGGAACCTAATACAATAGGGAACATTTGGTCAGTGGAGATAGAGGGGAAACTTTACTAGGTGATGATCTTACCACCCAAATATAACACCTAAGTTGAGAACATGAGATCAGAGCCAGCATTAATGAAATATAGCTACTGAAGGGATAGGAAAATGTGAAAGTGGAAAGCTTGAGATATTGAATTTTTATCGTCTAATTCCCATTAGGCAAACATTCTTTTGGAAAACATTTGAATACTTGAGCCTTTTATAGGATTATAGCTTAATTTTACTGGTCAGATCTCTGGAATGTTATGTGGAAAAGTACCCAAGGAAATATTTCAATAAAATCTTAAATAAATGCATTTGTAATCTCTTACATGTGATTTAATTTCCATATCTTATATATATTTTTGAATGGTATTGTTCCTTTTCTTAATCCCACAGGACAAGGAGTAGATGAGCCTCTTTCAGAAACTGGATTTAAACAAGCAGCTGCTGCTGGCATATTTCTTAATAATGTGAAGTTTACTCATGTTTTCTCCAGTGATCTCATGAGGACAAAGCAGGTAAGTTTATTTATTTATTTTTAAAATATGTTTTATTGATTTTAGAGAGGAAGGGAGAGGGGGAGAGATAGAAACATCAATGAAACCAGCTAGGACAAAGAAGGTAAGTTTAGAATCAAGGTTTAGGGTAATGAGTCAAAAGTTTCACCAGTGTAACCTTGCAAAATCTGCTACCAGAATTTATAGGGAACTAAATCATATACAGATTACCTCCAATATTCCCCTCTTCTCAACAGAACTATTTTTCCCCATTGTACTTTATTTTATTTTGGTAAATTTTAAATTAGAAGTAGCTTGAGAAAAGCTATCTTTAAAAAAAAAAAAAAAAGATAAGGTGTTTTGGCTAGAATGATTACTTTTATGAGAAGAGGAACAATTAACTTTCAATTTACAGACCGTGCATGGGATTTTGGAAAAGAACAAATGCTGCCAAGATATGACAGTGAAGTTTGATTCAAGACTTCGAGAAAGAGTAAGTAGCTTATTCTTTACCATAAGTTATCAATAACTAGCTCAGGTTATCATATGGCTAAAAATTCATTACTGCTAGGAATATGGAAACAGCTAACATTGTTGAGAATCTATGCTGTAACAGTCACTATTACATACTCTCAGAGATAGCATAGATAGTATCTTATTTAACTATTAAAATCATATAATATACATTAAAAACTTTTTTTTAATCCTTACCCAAGGATATGTTCATTGATTTATTTTTATTTTTGAGAGAGAGGGAGGAAGGGAGAGAGAGAGAGAGAGAGAGAGAGAGAGAGAGAGAGAGAGAAAGGAAGGGGGGCAGAGAGATATGAGAGAGAAACATTGAATGAAGAGAAACATTGAATGATTGCCTCCTGTACACTCCCCAACCAGGGATTGAACCTGCAGCTACCTAGATATGTATCCTGACCAGGAATAGGAACTAACAATCTTTTTGGTGTATGGGACTATGTTCCAACCAACTGCATCACCCAGCCAGGTGAAATCATATGATATACATCTTAAATTATAAAAATGCAAGGTATATTTGTAAGAATTTAACACAGTACAGAAGAATTTAAAATAAAATGGAAAACCTCTCTCCCTCAGCTTCCCAGTTCTATTGCCTGATTTTAAGCATAAATAGCCCATTTTAGATACCAGAAATGAGTCTTTTTGAAACTGTGATTTAGCTAAAGCTGTAGAGCAGTTTCACATCTGAGATCTGGCTCTAGGTCTCCTGGAAGACTTTTTATTTTGCTCTATAACACTGACCTGTGAACCGCCTAACACCCCTGCCAGCCCTGTGGTTTCTTACATCACCAGACAGAAATGTACCAGAATGGCTAGGGCGTCTTTAAAGAGTTACTTTACATAATGTGCTTATGTTCTCTATGGTTTAACATACATATGAGAGCTCCAGAGGACGTGCTGCTCGGAAAGGCTTATTTTGCTCAAACGGTAAACCAAAGTGCCTTGAATTCAGTGAACACCGAACAGGGCCTGCCATCACTTCTTCCTGAGGATGATTGTTCTAAATTTGTCATAAACTTGCTTGTATTGGATTAATTGGAGGCACTGTTGTCTGTTGGGCATTGCAGAAATACGGGGTTGCAGAAGGCAAGGGGCTGAGTGAGCTGAGGGCAATGGCCAAAGAAGCTGGGGAAGAATGCCCTGGGTTCACGCCGCCCGGAGGAGAGACCTTAGACCAGGTACGTAGCCCTGGGCATGTGATGAACTTGCCAATGTCACACCAGCTGAAATCTGACTTTAAAAAAAATTATTTTAGCTGAAACCGGTTTGGCTCAGTGGATAGAGCACCTGCCTGCGGACTGAAAGGTCCCAGGTTCGGATTCCAATCAAGGGCATGTACGTTGGTTGCCTGCACATCCCCAGTAGAGGGTGTGCAAGAGGCAGCTGATAGAAGGGAGGGAGGGAAGGAGGGAAAGGGAAAGAGAAGGAAGAAGGAAGAAAAGAAACAAAGAAACATTGATCTGTTGCCCCCCCACATTCACCAGGGATGGAACTCAAAACCTATGTATGCGCCCTGACAAGGAATTGAATACAAACACACCACCTTTTGAGCCATACCAGCCAGAACCTGACTTTTTTTTTTTTTTTTTTAATAAATTAAATTAAATTTTGTTTATTTCAGAGAGGAAGGGAAAGGGAGAGAGAGAAATATCAACAATGAGAGAGAATCATTGATCGGCTACCCACACCCGGGCATGTGCCTTTGACCGAATTCGAACTTGGGACCCTTCAATCTGCAGGCTGACACTCTATCCACTAAACCGAACCAGTCAGGGCTTTTTTTTTTTTTTTTTAAGGTGTTCCATAATTTAGATGTTCCTAAATTTTAGCTGAGCAGTTTCAAAGTTATTTATAAAACAACTCTGCATGATACTGTTTTTTCCTTTCTAAGCTATCCTGGCTTTTCTTGTTGATTTTAAGTTGGCAGCCATAGCTGATAGTGGATTTAAAGTATGTATGTTGTTACATGTTACTGTTAAGAAAATTCTTTGAAAATGTATATGTAACTACGGTAGCGGCAGTGGTAGTCAGTAAAGCAGGTGGTGACATTCAAGGAGAATGACAAGCAGAACACCTGCGAGGCAAACTGATTCACGCTATGACATCTTCAGGCCTCTGCTGCCTTCATTCCGTTTACTTTCATGTAAAAATTTTTTATTAATTTAGCAAAGGAAAAGTTGTGGGGCTTTTTTGTCTTGTTATAAATACACCAAAGTGTCAGATGTAGTTTCCTAGATGGTACTATTTTGTAGGCTTTTGTTTACTTGCATGTTTCCCTAACTAGACTCTGAGTGCTTTGAGCCAGGGATTAGGAATTGTATCTTACTCTTCTTTGTCCCCAGTGTGCTTTCAAAGTTCCCGAAGTATGGTGGGCACTTACTAAAGTCAACAGAACTACTGATTGAATGAATAGAAATACAGCATTTTTGCCCTGGCTGGTGTGGCTCACTGGTTAGAACATCGGCCCCCACACTGAAGGGTCTTAGGTTTGAATCCCGGTCAAGAGCATGAACCTGTATTGCAGGTTCGCTCCCTGTCCCTGGTTGGGGTGTGTTGGAGGCAACCAATTGATGTGTCTCTCTCACAATGCTTCTCTCTCTCTCTCTCTCTCTCTCTCTCTCTCTCTCTCTCTCTTCCCCCCCCCCCCCCCCTCTTCTTCCTCTCTCCTTTCCACTCTCTGAAAAGCAATGGAAAAAAATTTTCATGAGGGTTAGCAAAAAAAAAAAAAAAGAAGAAATAGTCTTTTATGACATTAGAAAAATCTGATCAGGCTTTATTTTATGTTTTAAGACAGTCAACAATGTCACTTTATTTTACCTTTTATCTCTTGTAGGTGAAGATGCGAGGAATAGACTTTTTTGAATTTCTTTGCCAACTTATCTGGAAGGAAGCAGATAAAAAAGAACATTGTTCTTTAGAAACTCCAAGCAACTGTCTGGAAACTTCTTTGGCAGAGATCTTCCCTTTAGGAAAAAATTGTGCCTCCAAATTTAATTCAGACAGCAGCACTCCAGAATTAGTAGCCAGTGTCTTAGTAGTGAGTCACGGTGCCTATATGAAAAGCCTGTTCGGTTATTTTCTGAACGACCTTGAGTGTTCCTTACCAGAAACGCTAAGCAAATCTGAACTTACAGCAGTTAGTGCCAATACAGGGATTAGTCTCTTTATCATAAACTTTGAGAAAGAAAGAGAAGCTAAACCAACAGTTCAGTGTGTTTGTATGAACCTACTAGATCATCTAAGAGAAATGACTGAAACTTGCTAAATTTAAATTTACACCAAAATTGTAACAGTTTTGAGCCTCTGAGGGAGAGAGTGCCTTTGACTTTATTTTCATCCTCTGCGCTCACTAAATTGGAAACAGTAAAAAAGCTGACTATTATAGTATGTTTTTAAATTCAAATGGAATCATGGCCACATAAAACACTAATGCAAAACCATTTAGAATTGATTTGTCTGAGAACAGTTGGCATTTTCCAGAGTATTTTTACTACTCTGCTTACTTATGTCTCTGGATTGTAAAAGGATGAAGGAACTCAGCATTAAAAATTGGGGGATTAGTAATCTGGTTACTCTGTTTATTTCCTTTTTTAAGAATGTTGATGATTTTCCTTTAATGTCTGAAAAACCTAGCTTATTTTATTGACTCTTGGTAAGATACTGTACGTTTTGTCCTAACTCCGTCCATGCTTGGAAGAAGGAACTATTTATAATTCTCTCACATATTTATAGTGTCAGTGTTACATTTTAAAAGTCCTTAAATAAAAAAGGCTTACCATCAAGTTATATATAGTAAAATGACACTAATTTTCAATATAGAAATCAACGGTTGGAATTGTTCACTCCAGAGGGTTTGAGATGTGGGTGAATGCAGAAGTTCTTGTCTGATATGTTTGGTTTGAGAGGCTGAAGAGTTTGGTTTGAGAAAGGCTGTAAGGAAAGTAGTTACCAGGGTGCTGCACAGTAACCTCAGAATAAAAGTGGGTGCAACGTTGGGGAAAAAATAGTACTCTGATAACTGCAAATGTGGGGGTTTTGTGGAAGGTGCAAATGAGATTGCTTCCTTCTTCCCACTAGATGGCACTGGAGAAAAGGGATTTTGGTTAACTTAATTTCACACATATGACTGGGCCCTCAAAAATTCTATCTACCCCAGGCCTTTGGATTGATGGAGGGTGGGCAAAAGAGAAAATGGGGAGACATCTGTAATACTATCAACAATAAAATAAATAAAGCAAACAAAATATCTGTATCTAAATGAAGTGCTTTACACATTGTCTGCTCTGCAGTATGCTTGTTGATGAATGCTCTGCGTCTCAGCTTAGGAAAGTATTAATCCCTAGTTGGTTTAGCTTAGTGAGAGAGCCTGCTGACTGAAGGATCCGGGGTTCGAATTCAGTCAAGGGCATGTGCCCAGGTTGCAGGCCTGATCCCCGGTACGGGGTGTGATTCTCTCACTATTGACGTTTCCATCTCTCCCTCTCTGAAATCAATTAAGAGAAAAGAATGCTAAAGTTTGTCAGTTAAGGCTAAAATGATGTATGGTCAGCTTTTACTTTGAACATCACTGAAATATGTGAAGTTCAGCATTCTTCCGGGCTCCCGTAGTTTTCCTGCCAGCATTGGAACGGCCCAGTTGAACACTAGGGGAAGTGTGTTGCAAATGAAAATTTGAGAAAGTAACCAAAGGACAAATAACATGCCTACATTTTCATCATCCAGAAGTGATACACCCCTTTTAAGATATAAACTATTGTGATGTAAGTCAAATTCCTTATTTAACCAATTCTCAGTCCTGCTCCCCTCTACAGAGGCAACCACCACAGTGAATATGTGTCCACCCATTCTTCACATCTTTATCTGGTATAAGGAAATAGTATTATTTGGGTGTCAAAAATGTACATAAATATCTTCAAGCTGTATACTTTATTTTCACTCACTGTCTCTTGGGACTCATGTTGATTTGTATAATCTATAACCACTGTTGTGCTGAATAAATAGATACGTTTTGTGTAGACTATTAGTAGGCATTTAGATGTGTTCAGCGTTTCCCTGTAGGCACAGTGCTGCAGAAACAGCCTTTTGCATCTCTCCTGTGCTGTGCCCTGGGTAGATAAGAGCTCAATTGTTTTCAAAATGGTTCTGTTTTGTAGCCTTACTAGAGTTCCTAAGTTCCTATTTCCCATATCTTTGTTAGCACTAGATAGTGTCTTGACAAAATTCTGTTAACCTGATAAATGAGGAATACTATGTTATTTTCCTGGACTTTTCTGGGATTCCTAATGGATCTGGGCATTTTTTCATGTCTGCATTGACAATTAGGACTTCCTCACTGGTAGGACACCAGTGTATTTCTTGGCCTGGTTATCACTTGGGCTATTTGGCTTTTTTCTTCCTGAGTTGCTGGAGTAACATCCCTAATACCTCCTAGTGTACTTGCCTTTTACATATGTTTATCATGTATATTCTTATGTCTTTAATTTTTAAATTTATTTTTTAATTATAGTTTATATAAAATGTTATATTAGTTTCAGGTGTACACATAGTGGTTAGACATTTCTATAACTTCATGAAGGGGTCACCCTGATAAGTCTAGTATCAACCTGGCATGATACATAGTTATTGGCTGTAATCAATATGCTATTTACATTCCTGTGGCTGATTTTATAACGCAATTCGTGCGTTTTAATCCCCTTTGCTGTTTTCACTCATCCCCATCCCCTCACATCTGGCAACCATCAGTTTGTTCTCTATGAGTTTTTTTTTTCTTTTCTGTTTTGTCTTTTAGATTTCACATATAAGTGAAATCATATATTTGTCCTTCCCTGACCAATTCCACATAACATGATACCCTGTTGGTCCATGTTGAAATGGTAAAATGCCATTCTTTTTCATGTCTAATCTAATATGCCCATGTATATATGAATCACATCTTTATCCGCTCATCTATTGATGGACATAGTGTTTTTAATTTTTAGTCAATCTAATATATCTTGTCCTTTGTGGTTTGTGGGGCTTATTTTGGTGCCTTGAGAAACTGTCTGATGAGGTCATATAGTAATCTCCTTTTTCCTTATACTAGTAATTTTAGAGGATTTTTGAATGCTAAATCTTTATCTGGAATTTATGTTGTGTGATTTAAGTTCAGAAGTCAATTTTTAATTTTTCTTGATGTGGTGAAACAGTTACCCCAGAACCATTGTTAGGAGTCTCCCAGTTGATTTGTGATTCTACTGACATACCTCCATGCACCCATATTGGTGGCATCTGCCTGTGGACTTGGTTCAGTTCCAGTGAGCTATATACACCCATAACAATGTAATACTTAGTTATTGAATCTTTGGAACTCAATGTTTTATAGAGTGGATATCTCCTTTTCATTCCTATAGTATCTTAGCTATTTGTGCACCTTTATTCTTCCATATACATTTTATTTTATTTTATTTTAAATATATTTTGTTGATTTTTTACAGAGAGGAAGGGAGAGAGATAGAGAGCTAGAGGTGTCGATGAGAAACATCGACTAGCTGCCTCTTGCACACCCTCTATCGGGGATATGCCCACAATCAATGTACATCCCCGTGACCGGAAGGAATCGAACCTGGGACCTTTCAGTCCGCAAACCAACGCTCTACTACTGAGCCAAATCGGTTTCGGCTACATTTTATTTTTTAAAGCTATTTTTAAAATATATTTTCATTGATTTCAGAGAGAGATTAAAAACATCAATGATAAGAGAATTATTGAGCCCTAGCCGGTTTGGCTCAGTGCATAGAGCATCAGCCTGCACACTGAAAGGTCCCAAGTTTGGTTCTGGTCAAGGGTGCACAAGCCTGGATTGTAGGCTCGATCCCCTGTAGGGTGTATGCTGGAGGCAGCCAATCAATGATTTTTCTCTCATCATTGATGTTTCTATCTCCCTCTCCCTCTCCCTCTCTGAAATCAATAAAAATGTACAGTATTTAAAAAGAGAATCATTAATTGGCTGACTTCTGCATGCCCCCCTACTGGGGATTAAGCCACAACCTGGGCATGTGCCCTTGACCACAACCGAATCCAGGACCCTTCCATCCACAGGCTGATGCTCTATCCACTGAGCCAAACCAGCCAGGGCTTCCATATACATTTTAGAATCAGTAGGCCAATTTCCAGAAAATTTGTAAATTTTGTTAGAATTGTACATTTGTTAATTTATAATTTGTTATATATATGTAATTGTCACCTGAAGATAGGTTTTTATTGATTTTTAGAGAGAAAGGAATATCAATATAAGAGAGAAACATTGATCAGTTGCTTCCCATACATGCCTGACCAAGGATCAAACCTACAGACTTCTGGTATGTAGGATGATGTTCCAACCAACCGAGCCACCTGGCCAGGGCAATAATAATTTTTTGAGCAAGGCATACAAATACCAGGTTATTTTAAGAACTATGGAAATAAACAAATGGGACTATATCAAAATAAAAAACTTCTGCACAGCAAAAGAAAACAACAAAACAAGAACGCCCATTGCATGGGAGTACCTATTTGCCAATGTTATCTCCAATAAGGGTTTAATCTCCAACATTTATATGGAACTCATACAATTTAACAAAAGGAAGATAAACAATCAAATCAAAATATGGGCAAAGGACCAAAGTAGACACTTTTTGAAAGAGGATATACAGAAGGCCAAGAGACATATGAAAACATGCTCATTAATCATGTTCCTGCTCATGCTAGCATCTGTTAGCTTCCAGTCTTCTACAAAGTCTTGTGCAGCAAGTCCAAGGACTCTGAATAAATCTACACCAACAACAAAAGAAACTCATTTAGTAGCTAAAAATAATATGTCCATAATTCTGATTTCTCATTTTGTTGTTTTGCATTGGCATTGTTATTTAATAGCTAGAGTTTTGCTCTTGACATTCAAGTTTTGAAAATAACATGTATGTGGTTTAGTTTTTGCATTGGCATTGTTTGCAATTGTTTTTAATTTTAGAGCCTATTATTGAGGTTTAAATTTTATTTTAATTAGTAAAAAAAAGGATGAGATGTAGCGGCCTGAGAAGGCACATGGACATTCTTTTAATTCTTATCAGCTGACACCGAGGGCACTGGCAGAATCCTCTTATCGGTACTTCTTAATCCATGTGCTTGGAATGAGGAACAAATAGGACCTGGGCTCGCCCAGATCTCGATATGCTAACTCTTGTACCAAAAAATAAGGAGCTTACCCAGATTTTGAATAGGATCTGGGCACACCCGAAACTCCTTTTGACC